CTTAGAATTTTCATATCTTTTCCGGGTTTTGGAATCAATTTTATTACCCCTTGTTTCATTGTTTCCATGAGCTCTTTTTGATGTATACATTCAATTAAAGCTTGGAACAATAGGAGTTTTATATCTTCCCAAAAATGTTTATAGAAATTTGTTGTTATTCCATCTGGCCCTGGTGAGCGGTCAGATGCCATGTTTTTAATAGCATAGTCAAATTCATCCATAGTTAAGTCTTCGTCACAATTTCTTTAAAGTTATCATCAATTACCGGAATCAGATTATTAATTTTGTCAAAGAAGGATGTGACATTTTGTTCTGAGTATGAGGATTTGTAAAGGTTACTGTAAAAATTAAAGACTTCCTTTGAAATGCGTTTAGGATCTGTGCATTCCTCTCCATTGATTATTATATTCTTGTCTGTGTTTTTCTAAATTGCAAAAATAGCTGTATTTTTTTCACCCTCTTCTATCCATCTGGCTCTGGACCTCACATAAGCACATTTGGCTTTATTCAACTACATCACATCCAGTTGGGACTGCAGGTTATTAATTCTTTCTTTTTCTTCCTCAGTCCAATCCAACTTGCTATATAGATTCATAAGTTCTTTAAACACATTTGTTTCTTCTTCTCTCCTTTGCTTGTTTAGTTTTTTATTAAATGCAATTGAGGATTTTCTAATGCTAAATTTTAGATATTCCCATTTGGATATCGGTGTGCTAATGGTGTTGTCATTTTTGATATCCAAAATTAGTGTTTTAATAGAGTTACAGTACTCCACATTCCTTAGCAACTAGGAATTAAATTTCCAATAATCTTTAAATTTATTATTTTGGTTTTTGTTTTTTAGTCTCAGATTAATAGTACAATAATCACTTAAAGGACAATTAGAGATTGTTGACTCAGTAACATATTGTGAAATTGAATTTGATACCAGCCAGTAATCAATACGTGATCTAATTTGACCATTAGGTTTGTGCCAGGTAAATTGTTTGACATCTTTGTTCAAGGTTCTCCAGATATCTATTAATTTGTTGTTGTTAGTGAAATTTTCCATGATTGGGTTTCTATATTTTCTTGAAAGTTTTGAAGTCCATCTATCCATCCATTCATCAGGGGTTACATCACCTCCAACTACCATATGATCAGTGGGAAATTTTACATTAAGTTCCCTTATAACTGTTGATATTTGATGCAACAAGTTCTTATTTTTTTGATCATTGTTGTACTCATAAATGTTAATCAGAATTATGAGAATGTTGTCAATATTCAAAACACAGGCAACCTAATGTCCATCTTTATCCGCCTTGTTACACAAAATCTTACCAGGACATCTATTGAAACAAATGGCAACTCCAGCCAAACGGTTTGTACCATGACTGAAGAGGATTTTATCTCCCCATTGTAGAGACCAAAACTTAACATCAGACTCATCAGAATGAGTTTCCTGGAGAAAGATGCAATTTGCTTGTTGCCCCTTCCAGAACAGAAAAACAGCTTTGCGCTTTACTGAGTCTTTAAGTCCCCTTGTATTAAATGAAAAGAAAGAAATGTCAGTTTTCAACTGGAATACCGAACACATGAACAAAGTTTATGAAAAGATTTAGGAGGTGGAGTAGAAAAGCCTTGAGGTAAAAGTCCCATTTTCCGAAATGTTCCGCTGTGTATCCAATTCACATTCAAATATCAGCCCATACCTGGAGTCTGCGCTTGCCTTCTATGAAACCAAATGGGCCCCTGAAGCCCGCAGCCTTGCCTTCCTTCCTAGCCTGGTCTATTTTTGGCCACATTGCCTGTCTGGACCTCCAGTCCTCTTGGGTCAGGTCTTCAGCAAAGCGGATCCCTTCTTCTTTACACACAGGAGAAGCTCTCGTTCGCCTCCAGATGTCATCTCTCACAGTACGTCAACAGAATGATGATTTGTCGATGCTTGTTCTCCGTCGCTCACCCCACTCTGTGGACAACGTCGACCTCTTCGTCCATCTTCGTCTTCAGGTCTGGTGCAATTCTACCCTGAAGCTCCACCACATCCGCTCTGTTTTCATTCACTTTCTCCTTTTTTCCTTTGATGCAAAGGCACCATCGTCTTTTGTATCTTTCTTAATTCAAAAAACGACCTTTAATGTCATCATTATCTTTTTTTGAGTGATTCAATCTGTTTTTCCAGGTGTTTTATTTTCGTTTTACACTCTTTCAGTTCCTCTGAGTTAAGCTGCACTGATTTAGCGATAGCAGCCAGCATGGTGCTGTGTTGTTGCATCTGTTTGCTAACTTCCACCATGCGGTCGTCAACATGTTTTCCAAGAGTGTCGATAGCTTTTAGTATGGTGTCAGTGGATGTGTTGGAGTCGTTTTCCTGAGATGTACCTTTCGCTTTCTTCTCCGTGTGTGATTTTTCTGGAGTATTTGCAGGGGTTGTTGACATTCTGTCCCGTTTGTTGCTGCTAGCGTTAGCTGTCTCCATCGGCGTTGAATAGTCGTGCTTGCTGTTCATACAGGTTGTAAACGGGAGGTTTTTCGCTGCCGAAGGTTTCGTACTGTTGTTTTTTTTTCATGTTCAGGCTGAATTTTTCTTTTTAACTGTTCAGGAAAGTGGATTATATGATTTCAAAAACTATTACATCAGGACTTTATTTAGGAGCTCAGACGGATGTGACTGCTCAGCTCGCCATCTTGCCAGAACTCCCCAGTTCTGTCCAACCAGAGCTAAACACCAGGAAGTAACCATATCCAAACAGAGCTAAACACCAGGAATTAACCAGACCCAACCAGAACTAAACACAAGGAAATAACCAGGCCAAACCAGAGCTAAACACCAGGAAATAGACCAGACCAGAGCTAAACACCAGGAAATAACCAGACCAGAGACCAGAAAAGATAATAATTATTGTGTGAAAGATGAAATAATATCCTCCTTTTGGACTTTGGGGGAAATCTGATTTCCATCAGAACTTTTGAAAACCTAAAGAACAAATGACAAACGTGTGAATGTTTATAAATAATGTGAAGGAAACTTCAATTGTCCTGACAGTCATCCAACAGTCTGGAGGTCTTTACTACTAAACTACAGCAGCACGTCGACTGACACCTGTCACTCAGACTGATCCAGAGTTTATTTCACACCAATTTACACCTGAATAAGAAGAGTCATGTGACCTGAATATGAACATCCTGTCTGAGGAGAGAGAGAGAGAGAGCGAGAGAGAGGCTGAACCAGGAAAAACTGACTCACATGATTTAAAAGGACACACATGGACACGTGAGAATAAACACGTTGAAGCTGACACTTTAATAAACAGCATTAAGAATTGTTTGACTGCTTGTAGCTTGTTGTAGTTGTTGTTGTTGATGTTGTTGTTGCTGTTGTTGTCTCTTTTCAGACTGTTCTTGTGTGTGTTTACTTAATTGTAGGATATAATCACTTGTATTTCCTGACGTTTTTGCTATCAACCAGGCACCGGAGTGAAGGATTAGCATTAGCATTAGCATTAGCATTAGCTCTGAACTCTGAGCAACACATCAGTTTCATTCTGTTGAAACTGTTAAACTGAATTGTCCCATCAAATAAACAAACTCAAAAACTGAGAGAAGAAAAACTATTGGAGTGACACAATGGACCAGTGGTTACATCACATTCTACACAAGTGCAGATTCGCTAAGCAGCGAGTCGCCAGTTCGATCCCCGACCGGATGGAGTCTTTGCTGCATGTCACTCTCAACGTCCTGTTTCTCTACACCGACGAATGAAGACGTAAAACACCCAGAAGAAACTTCACCAGCACCAAACACAACAACGACACCAACAACAACAACGACAGCGTTTTCCACACTGGGGCACTGCTCTCTTCTGTGGTTCAGGCGGACTAGCCACTATGCTAGCTCTGGGTTTAGTTGGCGGTGCTGGTCTTGATGATCCATCTCCAGACCCGGACTACACTGGTTCTCGACCAGTCAAGTGTAGGAGCCGGCCCTCATCACAGTGACGCTGAATTTCACCTGTACAAGGTGAGACCTGTTGCACCTGACTGATCACATGTTCACGTTCTGAGTCATGTGACCTCCATGAATGAAAACTACATGTGACTCTGTCTCCACATGTGCTGAACTCAGTGTCCTGCTAACAGTTAGCAACAAGCTGGAGCTAGCCTGAGCTACATGCTAATGTGACCATGCTAACCCAACACACACACACACACACACACACACACACATACACACACACGTGAAGAGAGAGAGACGGTAGTGAATGAAAACATGACGGCAGCAGTGAGCACACACACACATGGTTCATGAGGACACGTGTGGGTGTGTGTGTGTGTGTGTGTGTGTGCGTGTGTGTGTGTGTGTGTGTGTGTGTGTGTGTGTTGGCGGGTGCATGCAGGCGGTCTGCTCTTACCTTGGTGGTGACAATGCAGAGGCAGTCCATATCCACACACACACACACTCACACACACTCACACACACTCATTTCCACACACACACTCACACACTCATGCTCGATCTCTCTCTCTCTCTCTCTGTGTCACCCTCCCCCCCCTCTCTCTCTCTCTCCTCGTTCGTTAATCTGTCTATCCTCCCTCGCTCGCCCGCTCTCTCGCCTCTTCTATCCCTCCGTCTGTCAGCATCGAGCGAGAGAGAGAGAGAGACAGAGAGAGAGAGAGAGGGGCGAGCGAGCAGTGCAGAGGAAAGCGAGACAGATGAAGAAGAAGACTGGTGTTTTGTTGGAGGGGGGAGGGGTGAAAACCTCCTTGAGTCACTCGCTGGTTGATGACAAAAAGACAGAGAGAGGTCGAGAGACATAGAGAGAGACTGAGGGAGACAGAGAGAGAGGGCAGGAGGAGGAGGTGGGGGTTGGGTTCCTGTTGCCATGGTGTTATGCAGCTGTTGCCCCGGTAATGCTGCTGCAGCTGTTGCTAGGTAACAGCGATGGGTGTTGCTATGTGGATGAGAGACAGAGACAGAAGGAGAGAGAGAGAAAGAGAGAGAGAGGGTGTGTGTGTTTGTACCTGTCCAGGTGTGTGTGGTCGGCTTGTCGTCGTCTGGTTCTCACACACTGTCAGCTCGTAGAACTCCTGGATGTCTGCACACACACACACACACACACACACACACACACACACACACACACACACACACACAATCAGCTGATCAGGGAACAGGTGAGCTGACAGTAATCAGTGGATAAACGTGATTGATTGGAGAGGTTTGTGTGTTGAGCTCTCAGGGCCACCGCACTGTGTCACTGTGGTAACCATCATGTTGCCATAGTGACACGCTGACTCTATCACTGCGAACTTCAACATCACGTCTGTTCTCACCTTCAACCTGTGAACCTGCTGACATGGACCAATCACTGCCCTGAAGGCTCTGTGATGTCACTGTGATGTCACCATTAAGACAAGATTAACATTTCGACTGAGGAGGGAACCTGTCACTGCCCTGTGTGTGTGTGTGTGTGTGTGTGTGTGTGTGTGTGTGTGTGTGTGTGTGTGTGTGTGTGTCTGTCTGTCTGGTGTGTATGTGTGTGTGTGTGTGTCTGTCTGTCTGTCTGTCTGTCTGTCTGTCTGTGTGTGAGTGTGTGTGTGTGTGTGTGTGTGTGTGTGTGTGTGTGTGTGTGTGTTACCCAGCAGAGCCTGGAACAGGTCACTCTGGAAGATGTTGAGCAGTTTCTCTGCGCGACCTTTGACCCCTTCAGCAGCTCCGGCCTGACAGGCCTCCATCACCTGCAGAGCACGCTCAGTATCTGAGGAGAACAAGGACACTCTACTGACTCTATTGACTCTACAGACTGTTTACTCTACAGACTGTTTACTCTACTGACTCTACTGACTCTGTTGATTCTACTGACTCTGTTGACTCTACAGACTGTTTACTCTACTGACCCTGTTGACTCTACAGACTGTTTACTCTACTGACTGTTTACTCTACTGACTCTGTTGACTCTACAGACTGTTTACTCTACTGACTGTTTACTCTACTGACTCTGTTGACTCTACAGACTGTTTACTCTACTGACTCTACTGACTCTACAGACTGTTTACTCTACTGACTCTACTGACTCTGTTGATTCTACTGACTCTGTTGACTTTACTGACTGTTTACTCTACTGACTCTGTTGACTCTACAGACTGTTTACTCTACTGACTCTGTTGACTCTACAGACTGTTGACTCTACTGACTCTACTGTCTGAGTCAACAGAGTCACTCTGTTGACTCTACAGACTGTTTACTCTACTGACTGTTTACTCTACTGACTCTGTTGACTCTACAGACTGTTTACTCTACTGACTCTACTGACTCTACTGATTCTACTGACTCTACTGAATCTGTTGACTCTACTGAATCTACTGACTCTACTGACTCGGTTGACTCTACTGACTCTACTGACTCTGTTGACTCTACTGACTCTGTTGACTCTACTAACTCTGTTGACTCTACTGACTTTGTTGACTATACTGACTCTGTTGACTCTACAGACTGTTTACTCTACTGACTCTACTGACTCTACTGATTCTACTGACTCTACTGAATCTGTTGACTCTACTGAATCTACTGACTCTACTGACTCGGTTGACTCTACTGACTCTACTGACTCTGTTGACTCTACTGACTCTGTTGACTCTACTGACTCTACTGAATCCACTGACTCTGTTGACTCTACTGTTCACTCTACTGACTCTGTCGACTCTGTTGACTCTACTGAATCTACTGATTCTACTGACTCTGTTGACTCTACTGAATCTACTAAACTCTACTAACTCTACTAAATCTACTGAATCTACTGAACTCTACTGTCTCCACTGAATCTACTGACTCTTCTGGACTCTACTGACTCTACTGAACTCTACTGACTCTACTTAACTTTACTGACTCTACTGAACTCTACTGCACTCTACTTAACTCTACTGAATCTACTGAACTCTACTGAAATCTTCTGAACTCTACTGAGTCTACTGATTCTACTGACTCTTCTGGACTTTACTGACTCTACTGGACTCTACTGGACTCTACTGAACACTACTGGACTCTACTGAACTCTACTGGGCTCTACTGGACTCTATTGAACTCTACTGGGCTCTACTGAACTCTACTGAACTCTATTGGACTCTATTGAACTCTACTGAACTCTACTTGACTGTATCATGGCTGAATGTATCCATCAGAGAACGTTACGTCTTTATGAAATATTTGGGTCTAGAAACCTGGTTCCTTCTCTCAGAGCTAACTGCTAACATGCTAACAGTGTTGATTTATGCATAAATCAACACTGTTAGCATGTTAGTATGATGATCATGTGATTATGGTCATTATGACGAGCTGCTGACGTTTATTGTTGTTTTTGTTATTATTATTAATATTATGATCATTAATTATTAATAATAATATTATTATTATCATTATTATGATGAGGTGTTGATGTTTTGGTTCACACAACTTCTTCCTGCTGTGACCTGTTGAACATGAACATGTGAACTGTCTGTTTCTGTCACTTCTTCTTCTTCTTCTGTGGTGTCAGAACAACGACAGTCCAGGAAGGGATGACAGTACATCTACTCTCTGCCCTCAAGTTCAGCAACAACGTGTTTCATAAACGACGTGAACGACCAACAAACACCACAGAATAAGAACAGTTCCGTTCATCATGTGAGCAGCCTTGACCCAAAGAGTCAGTGTTAAAATCACTGTATCACATAGTCATCAATAGTGATCAGTAGTGATCAGTAGTATTAATAACAGCACAGTAGAGTCTGGGTCACATGACACAGCCCGAGGAACAGTGACATCACTCTGAGGTGAAACCAGTGAAGAAGAAGAGATATGTGACTCTATGATAACTCAGCAACAGGTCAAAGGTCAGAAAGAAGACTGAAGAGACGAGACAAACTAAACAAAGCATACATATACACACACACACAAACACACACACACACACACACAGTAAGAAACAGTGAAACAGTTGAAAACAGTATCTCACCTTCTCTCTTCAGCGGCATGTCGTCTCTCTCTGATCCACACAAATCCTCTTTAGGGATTTTACAAACACTCAGGGCATTGTGGGTAATGCAGTCCTAATCTCACCACTACCATCAATCCACACAGATTATACACACACACTGAAGCCCCGCCCCCTCCAGGCTTCAGACCACATGACAGGACACACAAACACACACACACACACACACACAACATTTTAATTAAAATCCTCAAAAACAAACCAATCTAATTAATAATTAAACCTTCAGTCATTAAATGTGAGAATGTAAAATAATATTATATAATATATAATATATTATAATGAAGATTTAATCTGAGTCTGAGGGGAAACATAAAGGTTAAATAAAGATACAGTAGAGGACAATTTAATAATTAATAACATGATTAAAGAAAAATTATTAGAACAAAAAACAGGAAAATAAACCAAATACAGAACAAGGTCCTCAGAAATAATTAAGATCATATTTTTAATTAGGATCAACATGTTAGAAATATTTGACAAACACCTGTAGATTGAAAACTTGTGGATCAGATCATTTCCTAGTCAATATTATGGAGAACTGTCAATATTAAACCAATAGAGGACAATTGATGATCATTGATGATCATTGACAGGACAACAGCAGGTGTACAGCAGCCCCCTGTGGGGAAAAGCTCAAAGCGTTCAACGCAAAGGAGGAAGGAGACAGAACTTTGTGATATCAGGTGAAACATGTTGCATTGTGGGTTTGGGACTTTTAATTTGACATGATTTACTCCCTTCCTGTTTGTAAACAGAGTGATAATGTAACAATCTGATGAAGGATGTGGATCATTGAGAAGGTGTGTGTGTGTGTGTGTGTGTGTGTGTGTGTGTGTGTGTGTGTGTGTGTGTATATTTGTGTACATATCTATGTAATATTATTTATTTATTATTTTGTTTTTTGTTGCGTGTAATTTTTCTTTTTTCACACGTAAGTTTAAAATTTACTTTAGTGAAATAAAGAGTTGAAAAATCAAAAATCTCTCTCTCTCTCTCTCTGACAGTGAAGAGGACCAGTGGAGGACAGACAGAAGGACAGACAGGTGGACAGACAGGACAGACAGTGAAGAGGACCAGTGGAGGACAGACAGAAGGACAGACAGGTGGACAGACAGGACAGACAGTGAAGAGGACCAGTGGAGGACAGACTGGTGACTGTGGTTCAGGATTTGGGACCTCTGATGGTTCCTCCTGCACCGTCTCAGGTCTCTCCAGGTCAGACTCTGGAGTTTACTGGTGTGGGACCAGTTCAGGAGAGAGGAGCCTCCAGGTCAACATCAGTGTGACACATCCACCAGGTGAGTGGTTCAACCTTCAGGTCTGTACATGACCCTGTCTGTTGGTGTAACTCTGTCTGTATATGACTCTGGTCTCTGTGGTTCAGGTCATGTGATCCTGGAGATTCCTGCACTTCCTGTGATGACAGGAAGTGATGTCACTCAGCGTTGTAGAGCCAGAGATAAGAACAGACGAGAGGCTTATTTCTCCAGGGATGGTGTCCACCTTAGATCTGACCCTGATGGAGAATATAAGATCAGTGGAGTCCAACAGTCTCATGAAGGTTTCTACTGGTGTTCTACTGATGCGTTTGGAGAGTCTCCTCAGAGCTGGCTGAGGGTCAGAGGTCAGGATGCTGACATCACTTCCTGTTTATAGACAGTTTAAAGATATGAACTAACCTGCTGACCTGATGATAAACTGATCACTGACCTGAGCCTGGTTCTACTTCTTCTCCATAGATCCTCCTCCTTCATCTCCTCCTCTTCCTTCATCTCCTCCTCCTCCTTCCTTAGTGGTCAGACTCTTGTGCCACCTGCTGGTCTTCTGTCCGTACTGCATCTGTACTGGTCTGATTCTGTCCATCTACTGCAGCAGGAAGACAGGAAACAAAGCGGCCGTCTCCATGGAGATGACCCAGCCTGTTGGAGGAGGTCAGGGGTTGGATGAGGACTATGATGACATCACTGCTGATGTCACCACTGAGCATGAGTTCTGAGCAGCAGAGTGTAGTTGTGTAATAACGGGTGAGAGTGATGATGAAGTGGATCAGGTCTCTGACTCTGAACCTCCATCTCTCTGATGATCACATCTGTTAGAGCTTTCACTGTCACGTCCTCTAAACTCCTTGTTGTCACTGCTTCACACTGTGTGTTGGACTCCATCAGAGCTGCAGCCTCTTTTCTTCTTGTCCTCGTCATGGTTCAGTCCCTCTGAGGACAGCTGACTGATATCAGTGTCCCCTCTGTGTCCTTCTGCTCTCATGTCTCAATAAAGAATCTGCTCATCATTTTACACTGTCCCACTTTGTATTGAGTCCTTCACTGACTGAAGCCTTGGGCCTGAGCAGCAGCTGGAGACTGTGAACACTACTACTTCTTTAATCAGTACATTTAATATTTGTGACAACATGGGGAGGAAAATGTTTCTGATGAACTTGTAAAGTTTGTGTAAATAAGACAACAAACTGTGAGTAAGTTAAGATGAAGTTATTTAAAACTGTGGCCATCTTAAATGAACATGATCATGATCAGTGATATCTGATCACTCTGAGGAGAAGAAATAACCTGCCATTTGTTTTGCCCTGAGTTATTACTATCAGACTTACAGCTGAGTACGAACTGCTGGATTAGAAACTCAGATATTAGATTGTTCTTAAACGCATCCACCAACACTGAAGCTTCCTGTTGGTGCAGCCTGTGGAGATGAGCAGCAGACAGGGAGTTGGTGTTGCCTGCGAAGTTTAAAAGAGGGCAAAGTAGTCCAATATTGATGAGGCAGGCGGACGACTTCCCGCCCTTAGTGAAGCTGAAAGTGGCTGAAAATCATCGTCTGAGTTGGGACTTTGTTCAGAACACTCTCGCTGTGCGTGTTAGCGCCGGAGCTGTTTTCATTTTAACGATAAACTGTTTATTTCTCAGCCGTGATCGTGTTTCCAGTCAGGCACCGCTCAGGACGCCTCTCTACCCCAGACATTCTCCCGCCTCCCTGATCTGCGACCAATCAGACGACCGCTCGGGTCTGATCGGTCGAAACACAAGAGAGGCGGAAGCTCAGCTCGGCACGCGATTGGTTGGCTCGACGGTCGCTCACGCTGCCCCGTGGCTGGAGTATAAAACCGCGGGCTGGGGTCGAGGAGCTAACAGTTAGCAGTTAGCCGCATCTAAACTCCACCGTGTTAGTTGAAGTCATGACTCATCACCCTGCACATACACTCACACACATACTGACACGCGTATTCACACGCACGAACAGTTCGGCGGGGGCTTGTTTTGACGCGCGGAGCGGGTTTTCGCGCGTTTTGGTAGTTGTTTTTCTTTAGGGGGCGTGTGTGTGTGTGAGTTAGCTTCGTGCTAGCTGCTTCCTGCATGTTAGCCGGAGCTAGCTGGAGAAGCTAACTGTTTACCTGTTTGTTTCTTATGGCTGGTTTGAATTATTCATGACGGAGCTCCGGCATTGGTGGAGTCAGCGGCAGGGGCGGGGTTAGAGCGGGATTTTAGGGTAAAGCGGGGAGGGGGAGTGAGCCATACACACGGATAGACACAGGTCTATTTGTGTCACACACACTTTGAGTGACAGTGTGTGATAATATTGGAAACAGAGAGGTGGGGGTCTGAGCACGACAACAAGTGGACTGGAGCTGGATCCTGCAGGACGGTGAGTAGGACTTCACTCTGATCGATTGCCAATAGATAATAATTATTGATATGTGAGCTGGTGCGGGTTCCTGTCTGACTTCTGCTGCTGCCTTGACAATGAGGAGCTCAGATCCCTGGACGTTCACCTGTGACCCCCCCCCTCACATCTCCCACCTGTCACATGAGCAGTCAGCTGTTTTATCTGATCTGATCAATCTGATTTATCGATTATCTGATCAATAAGAGACAGGAGCAAAGCTTTAAGGACAGACTGTGTCCTCTGATGTGTTCTCAGATCTGTCCTGTGTGTTTAATATTGACTCAGCAGAGTTCACACTGTACCTACAGGGGTTAACAATATATTATATTATATTGTACTATATTACATTATATTATATTGTATTATATTATACTGCATTACATTACATTATACTAGATTATATTATACTGCATTACATCATATTATACTATATGTGTATTTGTGGGGGTTTGGTCCAGCTCCTGTCCCAGCAGCTGCGTTACAGAGAGAATCCCTGAGTCCACGTCTCCTCAGACTGAAGCTCACTGTCCTCATGTCAAGAATCAGAGAAAATAATCAGCTCATTAATTATCATGACAGTGATCGTTAGTTTAAACAGACTCTGATTTCACTGGTTTCACATGGAACACTGACCTGTTCAGAAAGGTGTTAGCAGGTTAGCCGCTAGCACAGGTCTGTAAACAGGTAGATGTTGGAGGAACTTGTGTGTAAAGTCTCATATGATCAGTGCTGATCATTTTATTATTGATTATTTTATGAATTGATGAATATTTAAATGTTCAGCTGAGACCATTCATCAGTTGTTAATTATTTTTCCTTTTATCTCTGCATGTCTTCTCTCTGAGGTGTGATGTGATTGACTCCAGCTCCTGTCATTCAAACTAACCCCTCTTCTCTCTTTCTGTAGGTTGTTGTGATTGACTGACCTGTCCACAGGTGCAAGTATGATCAGGATGTCATTGGACAAAGAGACTGTCCTCCCTCACGAGGCGCCCTTAAAAACCAGCCCCACCTTCCCTGCCACCGTCAGCCTATCAGAGCAGCCGCAGCTGGCTAAGACACGCCCCCTCTGTCCTAAAAATGGCCTCCAGCCTCCCGGCAACAGCCAGCCCCCCCTCACCACCCCCCCTCCCCCTGCTCAGCGAATCGGAAAGAGGCGTTACTCCATGGGCGTTGGCTTCAAGGGGCTGGCCAAGCGCCGTCGCCGTGCCAACAGTGACAGCCAATCAGAGCCTGTGCTGCCGAGTCACTTCCTGTTGGGCGGGAACATCTTCGACCCTCTGAACCTAAACTCTCTATTGGATGAGGAAGTGAACAGGTAAGACTCGTTTGTTTATGTTAGTGTCTTTTAATTTCTAAACATTAAACTCCTCCCCTTTCCTCCTCAGAACGACCAATCAGGAGACACCACAGTGCTCGCCCCTGCCGTCCAGGGGCGGAGACCCAGTAGAGATCCTGGTCCCCCGTGACATCACCGACCCCTTGAACCTGAAGGGAGGCGCAGGGGACAGGGAGGGGGGAGGCACAGTCCTGCTGTCCCCCCTGAAGTCCAGGAGGAGACACAGGAACAGACACCATGGTGGAGGAGGAGGGGGAGGTGGGGGAGGTGAAGGAGAGAGCGAGGTGATGCCAGCTCGACTGTTTCCCTCCACAGCTGGACTGACAGGTGAGACCACAACACCTGGATCTTTACTGACATCTAGTGGACGCTTCAGGGACACACAGCTGTAAACAGTGTCCAGAGAGTGATTCAGGTCCAATCAGCTGATAGCGCCATGATCAGACCTGAATCATCAATATTATCAATGCATGATGTTAGCTCGTGGGCAGTGTGTCTGTTAGTAACAGTCTTTGGCGCGTTAATAACAGTTAATAACATGTTAGTTACAGTTAGTAATGTGGTAATAGCCTGTGTGTTGTGTTTGCAGTTCCTCTGTTGACCAGAGAGGGCGGTGTTTCTGTTAATTACATGTTAATAACAGTTTTAATGTGTTAATGACGTGTTAATAACCTGTATGTTGTGTTTGCAGTTCCTCTGTTGACCAGAGAGGGCGGTGTTTCTGTTAATTACATGTTAATAACAGTTTTAATGTGTTAATAACGTGTTAATGACGTGTTAATAACCTGTATGTTGTGTTTGCAGTTCCTCTGTTGACCAGAGAGGGCTCTGTTTCTGCGTCTCCTCTTCCCTGTGAACTCAACACAGCCATCACCTGTCGAGATGATGTAGCCCCACCCCCCATACTCCCCAGGAGGCACACCCACCCTCTGCCGGGCCACGCCCACAAACCCGGTAGCCAGGGTGACGGTCGTCAACGCAGACGGCGACGCACCACCTCGACACGGTTGGCAGATGTTGCTGCAAACTTTGTCACTGTGACAACCACGGCACCGACAACCAAATTCCAGACGCCGCTGGTGGGAGGGGCTAAAGCTGGCAGGTGAGTGTTACACCAGAAGTTCAAACGCTGTGATGTGATTGGGGGCCCGGTCACATGACCTCTGTTCTGCATCCTGTAGGTGTGGAGGACCTCAGTCTGGCTCCAGTCAGCCACCAGAGAAGAAGAAGGACAAACACCGCTACCAGTACGGCAACCACAGCCGTTACTATGGCTATCATGGTTTCTATGGTGATGGGTGGGAGGGGCGGGTGGGTGCGGAGGATGATCTGCGGCTCCGCCTCCTGGAAGCGGATTGGTTCAGAGACAAGAGGGTGCTGGACGTGGGATGTGGCGCTGGTCACATGACACTGAGTGTTGCCCGGATGTTTGAACCCGCCCACATCCTGGGGGTGGAGCTAGACAGACGATTGGTCCATGCCGCCAAGCAGAACATCAGGCACTTCCTGTCACATGACCTGGTGGTGGAGGAGAGGAAGAGGAGGACAACAGTCCCCTCCTCTTCTCCTATAAGGAAAGGAGAGGAGGAGGTGAAGAGGGAGGAGGAGGAGGAGTGATGGAGCGAGTTCCAACAGGCTCTGTCCCTCCTCTCCTTCCCCTCGTCATTCAGGCTGACTGCTCCTCCTCTGCTCCTCCCTCCCCCCTCCTCCACCTCCTCCTCCAGGTTCCCCAACAATATCACCTTCGTCCAGGTGAGTATCAGTCCGACACAGTCCAGGTGAAATTATTTACATTATTGATATAATGATATTATTATATCATTACTCTGCTGACATCACAGCTGTGACTCCTCCCACAGGGCGACTACGTGTCAGAGCGGGAGGCGTGGCCTGGGCAGGGTCAGTATGATGTCATCATGTGTCTGGGCGTGACCAAATGGGTGCAGCTGCAGGCAGGTGACGGGGGCGTGGTCAG